GTTCAAGCCCAGCACCATGTGCGCGGAGTTTACTAGCAGAATGTAAGGAAGATACCTATTGAAGTCGCCTCTGAAGTCGCCCGTAAATCCCGTTTGTTGTTGCTGCTTTATTATAGTATCATCCGATTGAACATGATGGCAATGGCTCAGCCCAATACATTGACTCAATGATTTTATGTGCTACAGAGACGCACCACTCAAAGATATGGAGTAGAAATAGGAAAAAAAAAAACCAAATATTGGACATTTTCCTTTTTTTTTTTGTTAGCTGAACAGCAAGACAGAGGAGCATTCGTTCTGCAGGTATAATCAAGTACCTAATTACAGCGGATAGACGGCTTAAGTCTTTTAGATAGAGATAACATTCGCAGACATATATATGCATATATATAACGTATGTGATGTACGCGAAAGTGAAATTACAGAGCTCTTTACGTATCGCAGGTTGCTGTGTGGTTAACGTGCGGCACCGATATCATTTCCGTGCGCCTAGACGCTGCTTCGTCCCATTTTCCGCGGTGCAAGACTAAAACTCTGCCGGCCACCCTTACATCCCTGTATAATGTACTGCGGTGCATAGGGCAGGTTGCCCTAAGTCCGACATTTTAGATTCAAGTCTGAGCCAGATCTGGCAGTATCACACCAACAGAGCTTGTTAGTAGTCGGATGATTTGCATGGAAACGGATATAGTTATATAGAACTTGGTGTATGGCGGTAGGGAGGTATCAACGAAAAGAAGATAACCCGTCGTGAAGGCGGAGTTTGCAAACGCCGATGGGAACATCGCGGGAATCACGCGAGATGAAAACGCCGAATGCGACTGAAATTTTGTTCTGCGTAATACAAGGTCGTTAAGTAAGTAACGTCCATTGTCGTTTATCGCTCACAGTTTTGCCAATGATCAAATGTTACACATGAGTTTGAAAAGCTTATTCTTCGCGTTACGGACTGATGACGTGGCGTCCCTTTGTTAGAACTTCGAAATCCTATTTTGAGGTGAGAAGCATAGATATAGCACATGAAAAAAGAACTCGATTTCACGGCACCGCCTTATTAAATCGAGTCGCCTCGAATCGAAGGTACCGTTTGTCACCGAGCAGCTTTACAAAATATAACTTCCTATTGTTATCACTGTGTAAGAGTAGTATTCAGCTGGGTAGAGATTGTCTAGGCGCTTTCAACATTGCGACACTTTGTCCTCGTTCGGAACGGCTTAAGTTCTACCTGCTACTGTATATACGTGTGCTACATAGAAATCAATGTATAGTCTAATGCATGGCATAGAGCTATCATAATGTACCATATCATCAAAGATCGATGCTAGTTAAATGAACTGGCAGACGCCGGAGGTTGTAGTTGAATGTTGATCATAATAGCGGTAGCAAAATACAATCACTAACACAAAAGGGAAGTTCATACACGCATAAAAGGCTAACAGGGTCGGGGGTCCAACTGTGGTGGGCAAATCTAGCGTTTCGTGAGAAGTACTACGGCTGCTGTAAGCACGATTATCTGCATAGAAATTTTTCGTAACGACGCGGATCCCTTTTCTACTGGACGGGCCTAGGAGCTCATATGACTTTAGCCTTGCTTGCAACAGCCGTTGCAATGGCTGTAGCGGCAGCAAAAAGACCCGATTCAATTTCCATCTATCCAGTGTAGAGAGGATGTTGAGACGCTTATTATTCTTGCTCAAATAGGGTCCATTGTTAGGCAGAATGATTGTTCTCCGAGTGTAAATAGTTTCTAAATAGACCCTGGGTCGAGTGAAATGCAATTGTATACCTTGAGACCACACTCAAGCTTCCCGTATGCCTACTAACTTTGGCTTGGTCTGACAGAGTGTAAACGTTGATTGTTAGTAAGTCAACTAGTCACACACCGCGAAGCGATTGCTTGTCTAGCTTAATGAATGATAAATGACCATAGATATTCACGCACAATTCCACCACCAGAAGTTGGGTATACAAAGCGAAAGGAAATGGACAAAGGTGGATAGGGGATGTGATGGTTTACATCTCTTAGATCGCAGGGTGGTCCGAATTCAAGACACGATTAAGGATCTAAGCAAATAACTATTATCGAAAAAAATACCACGCAACAGTCCATAAAAAGCGTCTTTTTAATATAGTGCACGGAAGTTGTACGCTGAGAGTATGTCTAAACGTTCGACGTACACTTGTACGAGGCTGCCATTCGTATAGGTTAGTACGAAGGACTGAAAATAGATAGTCTGTACTAAATGCTTGTGCCAGAATCTAAAAAAATTACGCGAGTGGCAGACAGATGCCTTAGACCTGAATGTTGGCTCATTTTTAAGATGGATCTAAGAAAAGGTAGAAAATCGTCATATCTAGATAACCTTCTTTACGAAGATGAGCCAGCATTGTACTACGATTGCGGAACGGGGTCAACATACGGATGCTTAGCTTTCGGAATATTGATCTCGGCGCATGATGAACTTACTTTCACTAAACGGAACTGTATTGACAAGACAGCACGCTTGGCGTGACAATGAGCCATGGTTGGCCTTCGGCCACTTCTGTGTACTACTATGGTCTATCGGCGACATTTTGCACCTTAAGATTGCCGTGCACAGTCATATGTCGGCGTCTTGTAACGAAGTGGACGTACAAATGAACAACCAGCTTCGTCGGAAGTTGCGACGTGTATAGTTATTCTCCTGCTTCTTTTTGTCGCCGATGCTCAGTTGCTGTCACTGCTGCTATTGTTATTGCTTCCATCTTGATCCTTCTGAAGCTTGCAGCGGCGAAGTTCGATAGTATCGTCTTTTTCATGTAGGACATAATAGCGGTGCTACAAGCAGTTGTGGGTTCGCGCCCTCTTGTTGCTACAACGAGACGAGCACGCCTTCGCCTGCTCGCTCTGCCGATTTTCCCGTCCGAGTCGATGAACGAACACAAACGAACGAACGCGGAGCTCAGGCGGAACGTAGCTGTGTTTTGCGCTTTCGTTCAGACACTTCGTGACGCACCGATCGATACTTTCTCTGGCATGATCACCATCTTGGACAAAGAGTGGAACCTGCTAGCCGCGCTCGATGAACCATTTCGATCTACTACTGTTGCAGTCCATGAGAGTCATCTCTGCGAACCCGGCGCCTGCATATTGCAACGTGCGCCGAAGCAGAATGGGTCAACTAGTGCGTACCATTATTGTTCAAGCTGGTCAGTCAGTCACAGGTCCTTTTTTGCTTTTCACGGGCCGCCAGGCTGCCCTCTGTCGGCCGGCCAGTCTGACTTTCTTACTTTCTTTATTTAATATTGAAAGTAGATAGAATGGAATAGAGAGTAGAAAGGGAGGGTACTCGACTTCGCTGATGGAGTTGTCAGCGACTCAACCTCTTGTTGACTCTGCTCTACCGATAGGTCGCGGTCGATTCAGTGGTGAGCGCTTTGTAGTGCGATCACGTTAACACTGTACATAGACAGTCGCTGTCAGTGTTCGTACACTTACCTCGGTGGCTTCTACAACGTCGATGTTGTTACTGCCTTTCAATACGAAATTGTGGGGTTGGGTCTAATCGAGGCAGCTTTCTATACGCACGTATGAATGTATGTGTGTTCTAACGCAGTTCGAAAGGCGCAGTGTAAAAAACGCGACTAAGGGTTCTCTGAAGAAAGACCAACCTTTGAGGCGAGGACTCTTTCTCGTACGCTCCCTATATGCTGTTCGGCGACGTGAGGAACGCCAATCTTTCAGTTAGTCCTGAGATGAGAACCGTCCGAGATCTGCGCTGTTCTGGTGAGGTCGTTAGAGGTCTTTATTCGTTCTGGGAACAGAGGAGACACCGAAGATAGCGACAATAGCATTGTTGTCTACGCCAAGACGACATGAAGTGACGAAACCATTTAAGTGATACCTTTGTAATGAACTCGATCACTCGTCACTACACTTCTCGTGAATGTGGTACAACCGGACGTATCAAAGAAGTATGCCTTCTTTCTTAATCAAAATCGTGTTCCTCTCAAGAGATCGATATAATTTTGACAGGACAAGGGACCGCTATTGACACAGACGCCGTTTAAGGCTGGATAGCCTAGGTCTTTTTCGACTATAACGCATACGACAGGGATAAATAGTCCTGATCAACTTATCGTAGCCTTTTTTTTTTTTCGCTCATTCATTGTATTTACATCAAAATAACAGCAGATCAAGGCTGCCACTGTCTAAGCAACGTGACGTAGGCTGTTATGCGTCCACATTCCTACAATACAACGAATAACCTGTTGTATGAAATGGTCTTAGCTTTTGCATTCAGGACGCATAAATGCTGGCTCAGTTTTGAACAATGGTTACCCCGTACAGACTAACGTTTGCCGAAACTATCCACAGCTCTATCGAACTGACTCATATGGATATGGAATAACAGGTATGATCCTGTTTCAAGTTGATTTGACGAGAATTACTGCTTCGGGAAAATATTTAGCTTGCAACCACCATTCGAGTCTATTAGTAAGCAGGAGGGAGAAGGGGGAAGATAGCGACGCATATATTATACAGTCTGCACTATATCCGCGTATTGTTTTATGCAAGTGTCTTTTTTATGTTTGAACATTTATTTTTGACAGAACTAAATAAGTGCGGCCTTAAAGCACAATTACAAGTCAATTGCCTAGTAGCCAGTTTCATGGTAGAAGTTGGTGTTAACGCCCAATGTTCAATTTATTTTGAAAGACGAAAAGACTTATACACCGATTTCAATTCCACACCTAGGACCCAGCCGGATTATACTGCACAGCATTAGGGACAACATACAAAAAATAAGCATTCAGTTCTTGGTTGCAGACGGTCAAGCGCCGACTGCCATGTTGATCGAAGTTCTTCTGCCATCTGTAACGGTCTTCAACGAGTTTTCTTCTTTGGTTCGTTCGTCTTCAGCTCTCACCCTCAGATTTCGGCGTCTTCAGTGCTTCAGGGCGGAGCATAGGGCGGGACGGGCAAGAAGGAAGACTGCCACCCTCTCCACGGTGCGATTCTTTATTTAAAGTGTGCGGTGAGGGCTTCGATCTTCACACCCGATTAGTCTCTGGGTTTGAAGACCACTCAAGCCAGAAAGAAGAACAAGTGCCTTTGTTCACCAGAAGTGACCTTGTGTTTAAGCCCGCAGCGACTACACGTTCTCCTACGTCTCCCTACGGACTAGTTCCCGACCCTCCCAGAAGATGGCGCTCGTGTCTACCTATTTTGAGCACCGCGATTACGCGACTCCGACCGTCATGGTTGAGCAGCCGTCGTACTACTCTTACGAAGACTATTATTGTAACCCTGTTACTGCTACTAGCTCCTACAGCCCGTCGGCTGGTAGCCAGGGCAATAGTCCTGTACCTCCTCACAGCCCGCAAATGGCTCAAAGCACGTTCGACTTCGTTAAACTTGAATCAAACGCACCCGAAGAGATGGAGGATGCAAGCAGCGAGTTTTCGACAGGCTCCATCGATTCCCAGATACTGAGGTCAACCTCAAGTAGTTCAAAGACGTCTTCTGGAAAGAGCTCCGGTGGTAAGAAGAAGTCTTCGGCAGCTCCTCCGCCCGTCGTGATGAAGAAACGCCGTCTCGCAGCTAACGCCCGCGAAAGGCGCAGGATGCACTCGTTGAATGTGGCATTCGACAGCCTTCGAGATGTGATTCCATCGTTGGGCAATGACCGCAAGCTATCGAAATTTGAAACTCTGCAGATGGCGCAGACATACATCGCCGCCCTGGATGATCTGATTTCGCGTAATTCACACTATGCCCCACTTGCCCCATCATCGGCCACCTCATGAAATGAGCATGGTCACAAGTAGGGAGTTCCCTTTACTGTGACGGTTTGCTGTACAAAGTATCTCGTTAAGTTATTATTATGTGTTCCATTTATATATACAATAGATTTATCCGCTGCCAACGAGGTGTAGCGCAGTGTTGTACATATCTCTTTTTTCTTCTATGGCGATGGTGATAAACGAAAATGAGATCGTTTTTGGGCATACCCACTGTTATTAGCCAGCCTCTACAGCTATCACCAAAGTGTCAACAGAGGAATAGTTGACACCCTTTACAAAAACTTTTAGGCGTGTACCACACGAACAACACAATATTACGTGTTTCATGCTCAACTTGTGGTTCCAATAAGCGAAACCAGTCCTGCTAGTCCTGAGATAATGGTTGCTGACCCTGGTGGTCGTCTGTGACACGTTTCGGTGTCCTGATTAAATAAGGATGAAAGGTCCATAATGATCACATCGGCTGTGCCTTACTGTAGGAAACATTGCATGCTTTGCAATTGCACTTTACAGTATGAACATAATTAGAATAATTATTACTACTATTACCTGCACTAATATACTATCGTGCCATGATTTGTACATATAGCAGATATGTAAGAAAGATGGACAACGACAAGAGGAAATACCAATAAAGAAAAATTATTGAAGGAAAAACAACTACTCCGAGTCCTTTCGTTACTATAATGTTAATCTAATATTTTTAAAAGGATTATGTCTAGGCAGTAGAGGTATAGTGAGTATCATGATAAGGAAAAGCATACTAGGCTGAAAAAAGCGCTAGCTAAAAAAATCGAATTCTCGTTCTACTGCCTGTATGTGTAGTTAGGTAGAGACCAGATTCTGAATTTCCGACTAGTCAAGGCTGTAGGAAGAAAAATACTTTACAAACACGTTTTTGCTTATCTTGTCCAATCTCCAAGTTGACAGACACTGGCTAAGACAAAAACACTACCTTCCTACATACGACAATCGGGACTTACGGTCAGAATTGTTTGTACCCAGTTAAATTTTAACGGGAGAGCGTGCTTGTGGACGTTTGAAAATCATCAATCAGCGGCAATAGCATCGATTAGCCTTCTGCTCTATCAAATATTACATTTAGTTAAGCAACGTATTTAAGTTGTACAATATAACTTCCTTCAGTCTCTGTAAACACAATGTCTTTGATAACTACATGATGTAATTAGACGGCATACGCAAAAGGACCAATAGACAACCGCAAACAGACCACGTATAAGCCTGTCTACCCATCTGCAAATCACAATGGAGGCGTATATCATAATGGAGGAAACTTTTAATAAAGCACCTGGTTAAACTTTCGTTAGAGAGCAAAGGCTCCCTGAAGTAGAGTTTTTCTGAAGGATGGTTAGTTTGATTTGAGTAAAAAATGTGTATCTATTCTGCTTCACTGTATTTTAATACTAAAACTTTTATGCGCTGACCTATTTCAAGAAAAACAAGCTACGACGTTCATGCTTTCTATTTTAGCAGATGTACCATGTTTCTCCAACAAGCATGACGTATAGCAAAGGAAGGGATGCCAGATCTATAGACACAAATCTTCCGAGAAGAGAACGCCATGGAGTTACCTTCTAACGAGGAATTCGCGCAATGACTGTTTGCCCCTAGCTCCAAGCTCTCGCTAACAGGCAGAATTTTTGTATGAATATTGCTCTATATTTGCAGGGAAACTCATTGGGAATAGATTCTTTTCAGCTCTGATTTATGATTCCGCTTTATTATTTAGAAGAACAGGTATTAGGATAACGGGAAAGCAGGCTTTTTGTTTCTATGCTTATGTCGCAATGAAGATCCTTGCAAAAGAAATGGAACATTGGAGAGCGAGCCTTAATAAGCCTTGTATCTTTTCCACGGCGTCAGTGCTTTGAATAACAGCTCCAAACATGGAGATGCATGTATGGAACGCCTATTCTCACATTGATTGAACGTCCACTTGAACGAACATAGTTCGTTTAAAATGAGACGCAATGACAAACAACATTGCATCAGTGCTAGCAAAATAAGTTCTCTAGATTTCTTCTGTTCCCTTCATGCTTTCTATTTCTTTCTAGTAGATGTATGATTACATCCGATACGGACTGGGGGAAAGTAGTAACAAAGTTTAGCATGGTACATAATATAACATGCCCGACTTCAAAGCCGAGTATCGAGCACAGAGGTCAGAATGGGTCTCAACAAGCCCAAGCGATTCATCGTCGTTTTTGAGATCAATAACAGTGAGTCAACGGTGGGAACGACAACAGACAACAAGAAACGGAAGCAAAAGGAGTCGAAGGAGAAATACTAATTAATAATCTTCATCGTCTCGAGGACCATTCTTTAGCGTTCTGTCTCATTGTGTTTCTTCATCAAAAGCTTCTATTTGTTATAGAGGTGACCATAGAATCGACAGGAACCGCCGACCAGCACCCTGTTATGTCTATCATTTGGCTAGTCGCCGACGGAGTGCTGCCCCATCATTATTATTTTATTATGGCTGCTGAAGACCCGATTGTAATCTTGTTTTTATCATTAATCACCCACCGCCAATAGGAGCAAAGGTTACTTGTAGCCAATGCACGTGTAGGCCATGTTACAAGGCATATCTCTGTCCTTTACCTATCCTCCATTCTCAGCATTTTAAATAGCGCGTTTTAATCAAAATCGCTGCAAACCCTAAATATTAATAAACGCATGAATGTAGATGCTCAAACCGATTCTAAGCCTTGCTTCTGGTACGATTATATAATTTGTTTATGATAAAATTGCTCATATCTACGTATGATGTTGGACTGCTATGGTTAGTTCTCTCTGGGACTATCATCTTCGTTAGATACCATTCGGGTTATATATCAACACCGCTATAAATTTTAAGGGAAGTTTCAAAGACTATAGGTACAATTTGTTTACATTCATGTATTAAAAAAACATCATGTTCTATCTCTGATTATTCACTTTATAACAAGTACCGCCAGGAGCCAATACCACACGGCAGGGTGACACAGTGAAGCACAAACAAAGAGAGCTTATAAACGCGTGAGTTCGCTATTGAAGTTCAGGACCCCGGAAAGGTGATCATACGGTCGTGATCTAATTTGGCCTCGGCTGACGTAAGTCCCATAGAATAAAAATATTGACAATCAGGATCGATTTCTTGGGCGAGCTGCTATTCAAGACTTAGTTTTACTTTTAAAGTCTTCACTTTTACAACAGAATCAGTTGTCTAGCTTCAGTGAAGAAAGATCGGGATCAGAACAGGATGTCATTTCACTTTGTGGTACGAGAAAAATGGAAGATATGTACAGTGCACCATAAATATAAGTAAATTTGCCCTACTTTGGGGTAGGATTTGCTCTAGCTTCTCGTAGTAAAGTTTCTCAAGGTCTTTAAGAACATCTGAATATTTCGGAAAATAATCCAAAGGTTCCATCGTCTGGCTTTACATGTTTCTGTAAATAACACTTCCAATGTCAATGTTGATGTGGGGCAATGCAGATGTTTAGACTATATTGTTTGATAAAATAAAAACATATTTACGCCGAACGAGGTATTTACACATTTGTTGTACAATACTCATTAAAAGTTAATGAATATTCCCAATTAGCTTAAAACAGGATCAGGGTTTTTATTGATACAGGGGGGTCAGCGCGCAGGCAGCTGGCGCCTAAACTGTTGCTGCCTTTAAAGGATAGTAATTTACCTAGGTAACAAATTTGCAAATTCAAGACCGTCGATTCGTATGCTCCTCATTGGATTAGGACTAAACGTTTTCTCATTGCATTGGTTATCACTTACGTTTGCGTCTACTCATTGAATGTCTTTATTTATATTGCAGGGTTGATGTTCCTGCCCTTGTTCTTAGGGTTTTTGTGATATCCTGCTGTGGGCCCCTCAGGTAATTGCACGAGGTGAGCAAAAATAAGTGTAAAAAAGACGTTATTTTTTTCTCGGATGGTATCCGTGCACGGATACGTTTAAACATCGGTCGTTCAGGTATTTTAGTTCGCCAACTAATATAGCTTAAGTAAGCACAATACATACAAATTAATAATAATTCCTCTTGTAATCTAGCTGCTGCTGATATATTCACGCTTTTCCTAGCTGTTCTCGTTGAGGCGACCTAATATCTAACTTACCTATTTTTCTGCCTCTTGATCTATCCTTGGGACTACTATTTGCAAACACGATCGAAACAACGACGAGAAGTTGCCTAGTTTTTATTGTTTGTTGTATATTGTTGTTCTCGGTTATGAAAGTATTGGTTTGTTTGATATGTTAAGCCTTTCCGGTTGGTGACAACGCACACCCATATAAAAGCCTTTGACCTTTACAACTTGCTAACCTGTTATTCTGTTTGTGGAACCTAGCGGCTATTTCGACGACAGCTACAACTAGCCGTTAAGGTCGATCGCCCTGTCCGGATAGCCTGAACACAATTTGTACAGTAGCCAATGAGTAGACCTAGTGATTATACTATTCAATATGTACGTTCACGAAGGCCTAGACAGCTCCATACGTACGTAGATATATGGCACCGTACCATTCAGGCCAGCGATACCTTGTGCCATTCTGCCTGCAGACGGGTAACTTGTGATCTAGTCTAACAATAACTGTAGTTAGAGAATAACTATATGATCTAAATTACATTAATATCCGGTGAGGCTCGCAGGAGTTGGTGAAAGAAAAATTGATGTTCGCCTTGGAAGTGGACGACAGCGAAAGCTAAGCCATTGCTATGTGTTAAGCTAAGGTAGTTGGTCACTCCGTGTATTTGTCGACTCACTAGGAAGTGAGAAGAAAGGGCCAGTGGTTCTTCGACAGCAGAAGGACTAACAAAGTGTAGAGGTCACATTTGGTTTGTAGGATCCGCATCAAACGATTTCGCTAGTTTTCTGGTCAATAGCCATTTGATGTGCTTTGATGACGTGGGTGCCGCGTCGTTTCAGCCTAGATATTTTAATGATATTACTGCTGCCGACTTCCACGAACGCATCGACTCGAGACGTTTCCTGCGAACTTGCCCGCGATCTGCAGCGCCTAACGCAGAGGTTAAGCTCTTATTCATTTGGCTGTTTGTTATCGCCATCTCCATAATCGTATTCGAGTCAAAATCAATGCATAAGGTGCAGTCTGCTTTTGCGACCTCTTCACACCTCAGTTTCCCGGGTCCTTATCCCAACTTCAAATCTCGGCTCATCGTCAACGAGTGGTGACGTCCGCGCACTATTCGACAGGCTTTTGCAAACGCCACGGCAACGGCGTTACTTCAGGAGGGCCTGTAATGTCTTATAGCCCTGTCCCTTCTCGCATGTCTGTTTTCCGCCTTCGGTAGCTTCCTCTCCGCTCCCGATCCTACTGATCTTTGGCTTACGTGTGAAGTGCGCTCGATGAAGACTCACGAAACGGCACCTGTACTTGCGATGGCGGCATCTGTTTGTTGTTTTTTAATCGCCGCCGTTTCTCCTATATATACTTTGTTTGCTGGCCGTTCAGTCACTGACAACATCTCTTAGACACGTGTATTGCGCGGGTACACGTTGGATCCATAAGCCTGACACCAACATGCCGCAAGAACATGTGCCATTAGCTGTGAACAGAATGGAACATGGTCCAG